CCAGGAATTCTGATGGTTTTTGTATAAATGTAGCCAGCGGGGTGGGTGTTGGGGGGGGGGGGGGGGGGGGAGTGAGCATCTTCACCATTAATCTGACATGACTTACTGTACTATGCCTCAGAAGCAGTAACAATGGCAGGCTGTTCCCTGATGCCCAGTATCATCGGACTGAAACTCTTATCTTTAAAGCAGCTTCTATGAAACAAGAGGGATCTTTGATTTCGCAGTATCTCTGGGACATCGTGCTTTTACCACCAGTCCGCCCGAGGAGAAGTGATTTCATGACAAGCTGCCGCTGTCATGTGCATGTTTGAACAATATATTATTAATGGCATCGGTGTACTTTCACCCAGTACATTTTGTTCCAGCTAAAATTATTCTGGCTTTTATTGGCACTGACTGCAGCCGTTGTCTTAATGATGTTCATCTTAAACGGCGGGGAGTCGTATCTGTTGTTAACGCTGTTTAAATTATGGACATTTGAATGCACTGTAAGTTTACCTATGGTTCCTATGTACAAAATAGTAAAGTTCTGTAAAATAATTTAATTATATTTTGGAAATGTAGAGACATTTAGAAACTGATGTCTAACAAGTCAGGACAGGGGTAAATAACCAAAGGTTAAAGGTCAATTTGCATTTCAGATGAGATCTAAATTTTAAGGTTAGATATTTCTATGCACTAATGACTTAAAGGAAGATATATATATATATATAATAAAAGAAAACGACCATATGAATCGAAGGGATTAAACTTTTGTTTAGTTTGCAACACTAATCAGATTCCCAGACAGTCTGCTTCAATCCCATAACATTAATTTTGACCCATAAAATTATATGGGATATAAACCCTGGCTGTATTCCTACAAACTACACTAGTCAGAAAAAAAACAATCTTCTTTGTCCTCTTGCGATATAAATAAACATCTAAGTGCATTTCCAACTTACGGTTTAAAATTTTAAGTCTTTGAAAGTGTACAAAACATTTCTGTAAATAATATATATAACTGACACAAATAATACAAATTCAAATTTTTGTGACTTATTGCAGTCATTTGTCCCAAAGGAGAAGTGTCTCTGTGTCTAACCCTAACCCTCAGGCCAGGGATGAGGTGTAATTGATGTACATTCCGGGTTTCTGTGCACATGCACACACATGAAATTTACGCCTGAATGAAGTGCAGACGATGGGAATAATACTGAATAATTCACAGATCAGATGTGAGGAAGTGGAGCGCTTTCTGCCCCAGATGTGGCCGATTCCCACCAACTCTGTAACAGGAGCGGCTGAACGTGTAAATGGAGCCGGAGTCTGAGCGGCCAATCACTGGCCTCGACACATCTTAACTTGCAAGAGTGTGTTTAAGGTCAGTGTTGGGTGTTTTTTTGTTATTGTGTGTGTGTACTAACATGAGATAGAATGGAGCCATTATTCAGTATTTATGCATTTTATCGTCTGGTAAACAAACATACACCACTTGAGGACAGTGAGTCAGTCTGCTGCAGGCAGGCAGACTCCTGCTGGAATAATTTAAGGAGGAAGAGGGAGAAATGGGGCAACGGCTGTTTGTTTGTTTCTTTTATAACCTATAAGCTAGCAGAGACGGAGACAAGGAATCACTTGTAGAAACATTTCAGCGATCACACTCACTAAAGCTCCGTATTCCTGTTTTCTGTGCGTTTTCACCTCCATTCCTCCCCCCACTGGACGCTTCATGTAAATCCTTCTATTCCCATTAACCTCCGTCCTCTTTAAACTCATCTCCTTCTGTTTAGCACTAACAACCTATGTGATGCATCCCTCCTCACACCCCCGCCTCCCCACAGTCCTTGGGCTTTGATGTGTTTAAATAGGTCATTGTCTCCACGTTGAGCAGAACTGGGTCACAGGGGATGAAAATGTGAATCAGTGGGAAAGCGTGTGTGAAGACCTGGCAGAGCTGCAGCACATGTATGCTGACACATGTGGACTCACCTTCGGATTGTGAATAAGGGGGGAGAGTGGGGTGAGTGTGTCAAACAAACACACACACACACACTGGATCTGTGGGTGTTCACAGTACAAAATGTGCTCTGCAAGTGCCTTGTGAAGAGAAACAGCAGTGGGACGTCTCAGTGTCATATGTACTATACTGTCAAAACTATGTTTTATTCATTCAGACAGATGGAGAAGGTGGAGCATACAGTTAACAATGCAACAAAAAATGTCATTTTCATCTGCATGCAGTAGTGTATGAAACCAATTTCATGCAATAGAATTAAAATTTTATATATACACATATGTGTGGCACAAAAGTATTGAATGCAAAATAATTTGCCATGCTGCCCACTGGTGGAGAGACCTGCCCCTTACTTTGGGAACCGTGATTAGGAAGGTCAAAGGCAATGAGCTCTTTTCACTAATGACTCAGTACTAAGGCAGGGATAAATCCCCACAGCATGAATCATTCCGTCATCTTTGGTCTGTGACATTGAAGAAGCTTAGATTCACATTGATAAACTGATGGCGAGATCAACAGGAGACATTAGTCAGTGCTTGCGTCAGACATTTCATCCTTACGTCAATCATTACATGAAACTCTTGCCTTTAATGCCGATAGTCCACAACAGTTTTTTTTTCACAGTTTGCAGCGAATGTCACTGTTTTAGATTTCTTTTTATTCTGAGGTTAAATAACAGATTGAATTTAAATCCAATACTAACCATCATCATCAGCCTCTAACAGACGGACATTAGTGCAGCTGTAGCTCAGCAGATGGGTAAAAAAAACAACAAACCCACCACACTCTGGTATTAATGCCAAAAATCTCTCATCTCTCCACCATGTGGCCCGTCAGGCTGCCTGACTGTGTCAGAGCCGCGTCAGGCTGCAGCCGCGTGGTTGACAAACTCTGCACGCATGGGAACGTGCAGCCAGAGGTGTGATCGTCAGAGATAATCTGTCACTCCACTCTCACTCACTGTCACTTGACAATCATGACAGCGTTCACACAGGCTTACAGTCCCAGCTGTGAGGCAGAGACGGATGCACAAAGAACAAGGTCAAGATCGCTCGTTCACACTCACCATCACAGGAAGGACAGAGAACCACCAGACCACAGTCAAAAAGAAAGACTTCATTTGTCAATCAGTGTTTTCAAGTTCAAAACAGAAGAGTCCAAATTCAAGACTGCTAAATTATCACCAAAAATATAACCTGTACATGTCATATCTATATCTGCTACCGAATAACAGGACAAAAATACTCATTTTTTTTATCAACTAATCATTCAATTGTTACTTTTGTAATGTTAAAACCAATTCTAAAATTTCAACTTCACCTTTACCAGGATTATTTCTGGTTCCCTGACCAATCTTCACTGTTAGCTTTACTGTTAGCTTCAGGACACTGAAATAAAAGTTTTGCAGTAACAGAATGCATTTTGGGAATACATGAGTCATCAACTAATCAGAAAATATTTGAAGTATTCATGAATAATTCTCTTCAGTTGCATCTCTTTTACCTTCCAGATGTGCGCTCCTGCTTCCCGTGGCCTGCTTCACCTCCTCTTCCTCTTTCTTCACCTCATCCTCTCCCTCTCCCTCCCCTTCCTTCTCGTCTTCCACCCATGTGCTCTCGTCACTTCTCTCTGTCCCCCGGGAGCCTCCCCTACGCGCTCTCCATGCAGCCCTCAGCTGCCGTAACAGAGCTGGAAGTTCCAGCGCCAGCGACAGACCCCCGCAGGTGACAGGAGGAGTCCTGAGAGGACCCCACACTGGTGAGTGAGTGGCCTCATCAGGACAAACCCCGACGCCCAGACCAGAGTCCTGCACTCTGAGGTCTGGGCCCCAGAGTCCCTCCAACACGGGCATCCTCACAACATGCACAGATGGACGGGGGGGATGTATACCAGACAGGTAAGAAAGAAGGAAAAAAATAGTAAAGTAATCCAAAGGAGGGACGGGGTTGACGGACAGTTAGACAGTCATTGTTAGGGAAAGGTGAGGCAGAATGAAGTAGTGCAACATACAGCTGGAAAAAACACGAGAACAAAGACGGCACAGAGCAACGAAACACAGAGTGATCAAAGATGTGGCGCAGAACAACAGATCGCAGAGATGCCAGAACAAAGAGAAGGAGAGCAGTTTGTAATCCTCTCTCCCAGAGTTGTTGACAGTCTGTTCCCTGTTTCTGCCGCATTCTCTCTCCCATCCACTGTCTCTCCCTCTCTCCCTCTCTCCAGCTCTGTTGTGTAGTGTAGAAGCCCCTCCTCTCTCTATATCCTCACTCTGCACTCCTCTCTCTCTCTCTCTTTCTATCTCTCACCCTCTTATGCCACCACTAATGTAAAAGCATTAGTGTGGACGTGCAGAAGGGCTTCAGGTTCACAGGCTCGTCTACTTTATGACCGTCAGGTCAATGGTAGTCGGGCTGTTTGAGGTAAAAACAGCCGTGTGTTCACCTGTCCAAAGAGGACACCACATTCACTTTTATGCACTGTCAATATTCCCAAATAAAAACAGGAGTGAAAGACATGCTCCACAACACACACTGCTGTTATTATTATTTCTGTTCCAACAATAATGGAATTTTGATTAACAGCGATTAATCATGATTAATCTACAGATAATCTACGATTCAAATAAAATTGTAACTGTTTGAGGTACAGCGGTTGCAGCTTGTATTCAATGTGGCTTATCCCCCGTGTAATGCATTTTAAAACAACAATTCAACCTTATAATGGAGCTGGGCTAACGCCACGAAACACTGTCAAATCTCAAATTGATAAGCAGGGACTTAACATGTATTCCAACAAAGCCAATGCATAATTCTACACAGATTTTTTTTATACATATCTGAGTAAGAGTTCATGTTGCACTGTATTTGCAACCATATTCTGAGCATTTGCAGAGGGCAAAGGCATCATCCATGACCTTGCTTTTGTTATGTTTTTTTCTTAACTGCTGTACTGCATGTACAAACATAAACACTTGTACTCTTGCTGAACAATAACGACGGCACATCTAGACCTTTAACAGCAGAGCGTCCAGAGTTCTCCTTTTAACAAACTTTTAATGACCATATTTAACATTAATGTTGGATCTCAATTATATTTAAATTAGAGAAGGTAATTTGGCTGCAACAACAACAGTAATATTTATAATTGCGGTAATAAACATAAATGAGATGTTCATTAACTTAAGTCAGTCTTACTGTCTCTGTCTGCACCTCCGTGAGAGGCACAGCTCTGTAACGCCGGCCCAATAATGAACAAACCGCTGGACTTGTTGTGCTCGGAGGTAAAATAAGGTACACAGTGTACTACTGTGAGTCATTACTTCTCCACTGCAGCAGAAACAATTGGGGGATATGTTTGTTCCAAATTCTCCACTTCAACAGTAAGTTGGGCTTAAACACAGCTACAAATCCAAAAGAACGGTTAAAGGCAGAGGCAGAAACATAAGGTAAAAAGAGGAAACTAGTTGAATTCAAGATGATTTGCCCACATCATTTTAGGTATCGACTATCATGGGCCTACAAAGCACCAGCCCCGCGTGTTTGTTTAGGCGAAATCTGGGAGATATTTCTCAAGGCACCCATTTTTTCCCCCTCTCTGTTGGACATTGGCCAGCTCTTCAGTACATAAAAAAAAAAAAAAAAAAAAAAAACATGCAGCTTAAAAGAACACACTGAGACTGTTTGACTTGGGTTAGGACAACCTCACTTATCATCCATTCACAAGGTCACAAACAATGAACCGAATGACCCGCAGATAAAAATTGACACATTTTATCAGACAGGAATTTTTGTTGAAACGTTTAGGTCTCCGGTGTAACAATGTTTTATTCTAGGTATTCCCATGTGCATTCATGCAGTTATTAACTACCACAGAATGATATAAAGCAACATGATGAGCTTTGGTTTGACAGTTAGAGGTGTTTGGTTATGTGTTCACCTGCAGTGTTTTTTAGAGATTAGTTTTAGGCCCTCTGATGGTCTGGCATCACTCTTGACTTGACAATTACAGACCAATACGGTGTTTACAGCACCATCTGCAGGAGAGGGAGTGAGACCAACATTAACTGAGTTTAGATATATGAACTAACAAAAAATCCAATTATTATGTATCATTTTTTAAAATGTGAACTTGATACATGGGAAGTTGAATGTTTTTGATTCTCAGCTAGATTCTGCTTGGCAGAAAAAAAAAAAAAACTAAAATGAAGTTATATTTGACTTGACTGGAGTTGAGAGTCAAAACAGAATGCCCTAAAAAGCCAGATTCTGTCATCTGTTTGCTGCGTTAGACATGGCTGAAGAATCCACTTCCTGTTTTGCTGTAAGTGCAACCATTTCCAGTTCAACTATCACAGCCACAGCCTGAATGCCCTGAACTAAACACAGCCTTTTTTTCCGTGACTACTGAAAACATTAATTAGTTTCTGACAAGTCAGTCAGAGTTGGTGGATCGATGTGTAATCCCAAAGGATGCTACTATTACACTAGAATGTTCCCTTGAGAAACAGTCACATGCCGACAAACAGACAGGCACAGACAGACAGGCAGCCTTGACTGTGGAATATCAGACCCAAGAAGACGATTTCAGGAAATCAGAAGACAAAGAGCGTTACGATAAAAAGACACAGAGTGTGGGAAACTGTGGGAAACACGCTGTAAAAACGAGGGTGAAAATGCACCACAGTTCACAGCTGTTATTTTGTCACGGTGATCAGCAGTCATTTAGAGTGTAGAATATTCTATTTTCTAGTGGGATTCAATGACATCATGAGGAACATTATTATCTCTTCAATCAATTATCATCCAGAATCTGGTGATTTCAATGAAACAATAATCTGCTTTAGAAACAGACAATGAGATTATGACACAGTACACAGATAACTTATTGTCTTATTATTAACTTATTGTCACACCCTACATAACACCCTTACAGTGCTGTTGGTTATGTAACTGAGGGGAACGTCAACTGGCTTTGCAGACAAAAGACCAGCAGAGAAAATTATTTTTAACATACACTAGATGAAACACCAGTGTCTCATTTGTTCTACATCGCATATGTGAAAATGTCCTAAAATATTAAAAATATAGAATGATTCGAATCAGAAACAGTACAATGTGGAGGATTTTTTCTTTTTTCAGGCTATGATGTGAAGACACATACATGGTGACTAAGATCTGGTCTGTCATGAGGTGCACTGGTTATAATAAATGGACCATTATGTGTTTGTTTATAAAGGCATGAGTGTTACTATTTAAACACTTCATGATATTAAAGTCTAATCTGATGAGACTGTTGTTTTCCACAGAAGTCTGGAACAAGATGAAAATTAACAATATTAGCTGTATTTTTCCTTTATCAGAGGGTTTTATAGATAGGTTGACATTTTGACTCTTGCTCATGATTCCTAACAGTCTATAAAAGACTCATTAGGAACACATTTATTAAGTCTGACAGTGGCAAAATAGTCAGCTTGTTGTCGGCGCCTTGGAGAATTATCCAAGATGGTTATCGCGTTGCTGCCAAACTAAATCTTATGAAACTTTACTTGAAGAAACTGAGCTGCAGGCAAAATAATAGCAGCAAACTAAGAAAACAAGTAGAGGTTGGAGAGAAAGTGTGGACTGGCTCCAAATGTGAGACACACACAGAAACACAGCCATACAGTAAAACAGAGTTTAATTCATTAAAAGACTCAAAATCGAATTTCTTCAAACATTAAAAATGCCATTCAGTGTAAGAATTGAGTTCATTTTTTTGAGAACCTGTAACTGAGTGAAGTTTGAGGAAAATATTTTCAAAATATTTGTAAGAATAAAATTTTGGAAATGAGATCAGCAAAAATCAAATCTAATAAATTACAACCAGTGCATCTGTTGTTTGTTTTTGACTACAAATTATTTTATAATTTTAAAACTATAACTTTACCTTTTTTTGCTGACTGATGGAAAGGCAGAAATATAAAACTGTGACTCCACAATGTTCATGTTATATAAAATGAAGAACCAAAACCGAATGACAAAGTTGTCAGTATAGCAGCAGTTCACAGCCTGGTGGAAAGTCTGATTAGAAATACAGTGTGTTTGAGGTTCTATACAGTAACATTTGAACAAGGTCTGGTTTAGATTTGACTTCATCTCAAGGGCTGCATCATCAAGGACCGAGGGAAGACTCATTAAAAACACACACAGTCTACAGAGGAGGTCAAATACAGCAGAAAAGGAACAGTTTAGACTCCTGGGGAGCAGCCACACTCACTGTGCCTACAGTAACTGTGTTTTAACTGGAGATTGAGGAAAAATGAAAAATAAGACTGGGTCAAAGGTAAATGTCACTCTGAAGGGTAGTTTTCAAATATTTGGAAACAGTCACCATCCCCGGTGTTTAGGTAACAACCTTTTGCAATGAGGTATCAAGGTCAGTTAGTGATCTTACCTAGCATGCGAACTTGTGTGGCATTCTGGGTCTCCGACTTTTCAAATGTGACAGCTCCACACCTCTGCGTTGAGAAGGAGAAAGATAAGAGCAGCGATAAATATTGCAAAAATAGAAACATTGACAATTCACTACATCTGGAGACAAATAAAATGACTCATTAAAATACACTTACACTTATGTATATCTTGCTGAACAATGATGACATTAATTGTATTAAAATAAAAAATTGAATGTTTTCTTTTATATTGAGAGTATAAAAACAGAAAAAAACAGTGACATCTGCTGTTCTGGTAGAGCAGTGTCTGTTTATGTACCCATTGAAAGTGGGTCAGGAAATAAACTGGAATAAACAGCGCAGTAATCACACACATCCACATGATAGATCCTCAAGGTCTGCACTTCTGGTTAGACATTTTCTATCAAATACGTTTGTGTCAGACACATGTACCAATATTTGGTTAAAGAAAATGTCAACACAAACACAATGATTTGGAAAAATACTTTTTTTCTCTCTAGTGAAATTATGAAAAATACAGATACACGCAGGGAACCATAGTTATAGCAGGCTCTACTGGTGAGTCTATTAAAACCACACACGTGAGCCTTAAATATCTCCATGTTCACATTTTAAATCTACTGAAAATAATGCAAATTCGTTTTCATTAACTGATTAAAATAATTATTTTGCAGAAGAAGCAAAGATCTGAGAGTGAGCCGAATAAGGTTGATAAAAAAAACAGAAACAAAAGTATGTGCAGGTGAAAAGTAAAAAAGAAAAAAAGAGAAAAGTGAGTGTGATTCACCTCGTTTCTAAATGCAATCCAAAACAACAAACAGTACTAATGTGAAGCACCTAATGAATAAAACTTTCATGCACACAGAATTTCATTCACTGCCACATATTCAATTTAGTAGGTGGCGAGAAGAACCTGTACCTCACATCTACTCAGTCAAACTTGTACATCTGCTTCTTTGGGATCAACTATTTTTTTTACAATTTAGTAGGTGGCGAGAAGAACCTGAAGAAGAAATGTGAGATATTTTATGACAAATGAAAAGGCACAAAAACACAAAAGCGCCACTGCATAAAACAGACTTCCAAAATACTCTAATACCTCACATACCAGTCAGTAAAACACTACTACTGCATACGACTGTGCACATGCACAACAATACAGCACAAATATCACAGACTGTAAAGCAGCCAAATCATATAAAGGAACGGGTTCAATGCCCTGATGTGCAGAGCATGTTGATTGTTACGTCATAAATGGTACATTTAAAAAATCGTGTGCATGTGTGTGTGTGCACATACCTCGACCATTAAACAGGACATTTAACCATCGCGGCTGCTCGTGTCCAGTGAATAGATGAGACCGCAGCAGGCGTGTTTACAAGAGCAGCACTGAAGCACACACACAGGAAACAAATGCGGCCGTCTACTGCCTCCTGTTGTCATGGTCTGCAGAATACATTACTAATATTCCCGTCATCTAAGTCTGCTCTTTAGAACTCCTCTGCCCTCACTCGACCCGCTGCAGATAAACGTCAGGTTTGGTGAAGCCAAGGTGAAGTTACCGTCAACCACGTTGCGCGTGTTCGCGCACAGTGCGTACGCTGAGCCGCAGAGATGCGAGAGGGGAGGGGCTGTAGTAACATCTCCAAGGTGGGACATGAGCCAGAACGGACCAATCAGTGCCTGGCGACTCGTGTTTTCACGTTTATATTGTTTAAATGTGATGCAGATATAAACAATGGATGCAAAAAGGCAAGTCCATCAATTTCAGTTTTTGTTTTGTTTACACATTCATAATGTACAGTATATCAAGAGAGAACAAAACATAGGCAACTTTTTTTCTTTTTCTTTATTGCGCATTGACACCAGGTAATCTGAGCCTTTTATGGCAATAACTTTGAATTATTTATTTATTTACTCCCTTCTGAATGGGTTGGAAAGAAAAATTCAGTGAACATAATAAAACAGTGTTGATAAAACATTAAAACAGTGCACTGAATCTGAACCAGCAGTTGCATAGAAGAAAAACCATGTGAATATTAAAAACGTTTATTTGTTTCAGTTTGCCGAGCTACATTCAGTGCTCCACAACTGCTACTGGAAACAGTGAACGAGTAGCTGAGAGCTACAGTGCATGAGCGAACATCAAGTCTTTAAACAAAAGCTTTAAACATATAAACAATAAAAACATTGGTCTCATCTTAACATAAACACCCCTTCTGTACCGTCCTTGCATTGGCTTTTAAAATCGCAAACTTGCGTCAGAGAAAACGTAACAGTAACAAGCCAAAGACTGGACTTATTAGAAACAACAGGAAAGTTTATCAGTAGCTGCAGTTATGTGTGCATTTCTGTGGGAGCCGACGATTTGCCGACAATCTCTCCAACACTTGACCGCTTTCGGTAGGAACTTCTCCTTTCAACGCGCCATCAGGTGGAGACGTCCCTGACTGCGTCTGCTCAGCTGAGGAACCTGGAACAGTCATGGAAACATCACAACAGAGAAAAAGACATACTGTTCACTCTTCTAAAATCTTCAACTGTACATATTTATGGATCTGTTTACATTCTGTACCTTCGGTGTTTCTGGGCTGCCGAAGGGCGAGAGCTCTAGTGAGTTCTCTTTGTCCGATGAGTTGTTGTGGTGATGGTGGGCGAACTTTCTCTTCAGCGCATCTGCAATCAGAGCTGCTGGATCACAGAAAAGTGCAGCTTGTCCCTTACTGTGTCTCCTGCTGACCGGTGTGCCCCCTGGTGATCTGGAGGCAAATTACAGAGACCAGATCTTGATTTTCTAGGTCCCCTTTGAAATAATTAAAAGTCAATAGACAGCAGTGAGAAAGAATATGGTGCCTACCTCTCCACAGACCGCAATTTCACTTGAGTCAAGTCTTTGAGAACATCCAACATGGATGGGATGTGTTTATTTTCCAAACCCTTCTCAAGGTACTGAGTTTTGAGTTGACCCTTTACACCGTTTCTGTCAACATTCTTGCGTTTGCGGATCAGTTCTAATACACTTGAAGACTCAGTGGAGGAGCGAGGGCAGGGAGGAGGCGGTGGTGGTGGGGGTGGGGGAGGGGGGGGGGAGGGGAGGAGGCGGTGGGGGGGGGGGGGGGGGGGCAGGGAGGAGGCGGTGGGGGGGGGGGGGGGGCAGGGAGGAGGCGGAAGAGGAGGATGGAGGAGCGAGGGCAGGGAGGAGGCGGTGGTGGTGGTGGTGGTGGAGGCGGTGGTGGAGCTGCATCAGTGCGTGGTGTTGAGCAGAGAACTGGGCGAGTGAGGGGAGACATCAGAGGTGTCCCGGGGGTATTTTGACACTGAGTCAGACCTAGTGGGACACAAACCATTACTGTATTAGGTTTTAACTTTGACAACATTTGAAGGTCATGGGACATGTTGAGGAACAATGTAAAAGAATGCGCACTTGGCCCAGGAGCTACAGTTACGATCATGGCTATCTGAGCTCGTAGTTTCTGGAGCTCGTCTTCCAGGGCTGTGATTTTCTTCAGGGCAGCCGGATCGGTCATCTGTTTCGTGTGTCTGCCTCCTCTCTGCATTTGAGTACGAGCAGCAACTGGGAACTTCGCCGCATCTCGGTTTATGGCACATTGCGTCTTTGGAGGTAGATGGTTCCTGCGTATGATATAGTATATTTCTGATTACAAATACACCTTTACATCCTCACCTCGACACAGTTTAAAGCCAGATCAGCGTATTTATCATACATAATCTAACACATTTACCTGGTTTTGGCAAATGTTTCCCCCTCATCATTAAACACCCAAAGGACATCAGCAAATGAGGGGATGGCAGGCACGTCCACGGTGACATCAACAGACCCATGAGGCTTGTAGTTTAGCAGAGGGATCTATGGCCAGAGACCAAATATCAGTTTGTCGAATTCCAATAAAGTAAGGAATTCCATCTGGGGTGATATCTGAATGTTAGAAAATCGGTACCTGGAAGTGGACACGTGGAGTTGGTGTCAGAGGCAGATTTGTCCCGATCATCCGCACAATGCTGCGGTATTGACCGCACAGCTGACTGTCCCACACTGGCACCAGCTGCAGGACAATAGACAGATCAATAAATAAAAACCTGTGGACCTAGAGCAGGGGTCTCCAACCTTTTGTTCTCCAAGAGCTACTTTTACAAAATAAAAATGGCTAAGAGCTACTAATGTTGTGTTTCATAGCTCAATTCGAACATACAAACATAATAGGCTTTCTTTACCTGAACATTTACAATATGTCAGTGTTTACATATCACATATTTTTTTCAAAACATCACCAAAGTATTATTATTATTAATGTTGTTGTTTGGCCCAGTAATGCTCCTCCATTTTGTCCAAATAACCTGTTTTAATTTTAGTTTTTGCAGAATATCGCCGTCTACTGGCCATATATAAACCGACTGCAATTGTTTGGCAATCGTCATGACAGATACTTGTATAAACGCAGCATTGACGCTGTGTGGTAGCGAACTTAGCTTTAGCTTCAGTTACACGGATATTAAACAGTAGCGAAATATACAGTAACGAAACACATCTATTTTATTCATGTTCCACAGAGTAGGGTAGCGGAGTTACACATTTTATGATCAGATTTTATCAAGAAAAGCGGTCGGTTGTTCGGTTTTAGCTCCGCCAATAACAAAATCCCGCCCAAGGTTTGTCTGTACGTCAGGTCATTTAAGGGAGCAATTTCAATTGATGTGCCATTGCACTTCGACGATTGGTGCTTGATGAAATCAATGGCAAAACAACGATTGGTTGTTGATGAGTGCAATTGCACCTTACAGATAGCAGAAGGCGAGACTAGCTAACAAACGTGAAACCTAAGCGGACGTGATAGAAAGACCTCATTTGGGTCTTCAATGACGTCCGTTACATACATTTCATATTTGTCAGCAACCAATCGTTGATGTGTATTTGAATTCATAAACAACCAATCACTGATGTGCAATGGCACATCAATTGAAATTCCTGCTTTTCGTCAGTGGAGAGAGCCTGCTGTGCAGACAAACTTTTGGCCGGAACTTGTTGTTGACTGAGCTAAAACCGAACAACCGGCCGCATTTCTTGATAAAATCTTATCATAAAATGTGTTGCTCTGCTACCCTACCCTTGTATAACATGAATAAAATAGATATCTTTCGTTACTGTATATTTCGCTTTGTTTAATATTTAATATTCGTGTAGCTAAAGCTAAGTTCGCTACCACACAGCGTTTCACTCAAGTTTAGTTTAGTTAAAAATTACTAAAAAACCCTGTTGTGAAAAAAATATAAACTCTTTTAAGAAACAGAGCAAAGTCTTGGAGAGTTTTGTGGCAATAATCGTAATCACAATTATTTTAATTCAAAACAATTATTGACTGGTTTGGGAATTTACTATTCTGCTATTAAACTTTATTGTACATAAAAGTATAAATCATATTGTCTAATTATTTTTTGTGTTATTGACAACATTGTTCCAGAAATGACTGTTCCGTGGTTGACAGCACGTTTTGATTGATAGCTAAATGGCAAATAAACAAACAAACGAGCTACTGGTAGCTCGCAAGTGACAAGTTGGAGACCCCTGATCTAGGGATTTAAAATTAAAAAGCTTTTCTTTTTCACCTTTTAATTTAACTATATTTCTTAGATATCAGATGAGTAATCAATTAAACATTAAAAACAAATGCTTGTCTCACCATTTCTGGAGACACTCCAAAGTACTCCAGCACCATGTGCAGGACATTCAGAATATCATCCACCAAAGACATTGGAATGACTTTTCCCTGAAACAGCTGACAGGCTGCAAAGCTCCTATTACTGACGATGGAGGTCCACACAGAAAAGAAGACACTTGGTCACATAACGGGCACCTGGAAAAGACAGAGATTATTCTGGATCGTTTTAAAAGATGAGATATGCCACATGATTAGTTTATTGTGCATTATTGTTATATATAATACATTTTGTGTTGCTTACACGCATGATTATGTAAGCACAGAAAACGAAAGAATTATAATGTAGACGTGGCTGCTTTATTCAAAAAGTTACTTTTATCCATCACAAATCCTGGCGTTATTACAAGTGGCAGATGTCATCATCATCACCAACGTCAGTGCTACGTTCAAAGTACTATCCTAAAGCATTTTTATATCTGTATCAGCAGATGTGGAACTGGCTGCTGCATAAACGCGTTACGCAAAAACGAGTTAATGGGAAATCAATTAATTTTAAGCAACAACCTTGTGTCCTGGACAGTACAGGTGACGTGGTGCCACAAGGGCACCGCAGCACACTGGAGCTGCAAAACATGCGGCATAGGCGCAAAAAATATTTTCACGTACTTACTATGATTTAAGGTTCTTCTCGAAACGTGCATCTGACGCTGAACTTGAAGTGCTGTACTTGCAACAAAATGCGCTCACGACAAACAACAACACAAAGTGTAAATGGAGATAAATGCTGGAGATGAAACACTGACTTCCTCTCTTTGCTCACGCGCTCAGTCCGAAGTCAAATAAAGCCGGAGCAGTAAGGGGTTTTTTGGTTGGCTGCTCACACACAGTGAATTTCAGCAGCCAATAAGCAAAGGCAATGTATCTATGCAGTCAAAAATCATTGACCAATCAGACGGCATCGAAAAAACTTAACTGAATTCGTATTTTTGTCCACGAGCTGACTTTTCTCTTGCGTAAGTAATCTCTATTTTTGTCAACGTTTTGAGTTATTTACATTGTATTGTGCCTGTTCTTTCGTCATTATGCATTGCTACCCTAGTTAGAAGCGCTTGCAATAAAAAAACATAAATATGTGCACTTTTGGTAAATGTAATAGAGATGTTAGCATTAGCACATATGCTAATAAACAAACGGCTACATTCTGTGCAAAATTACTACTGTCAGCGGCTGATGGCGACAAACATGTAGGATATTTAAAGTTTCACATTCAAATCTATTTTCAGGGTTACAGTTTGCAGGGATGATGGACGCACTGTCTGTAGTGAGTCAGTTGCGGGATCTAGCTTCAGAACCACAGAACCGGGAGGTGATCGTCCGAGATCAAGGCTGTCTACCTGGTCTGGTTCTGTTTCTGGATCACCAGAACCCAGATGTTCTCTTCGCAACTCTTCAGGTAAGTGCAAGATACGTTTTAGCAGTCCACCACGTGTTTCCCTGATACTTTCTAAGTAGTCTTAATCCAAACTTGAGTTTGGACCATGAGGTATATCTCGTGAAGTACAATTAGAGAACAAGCAGCTTTAACTCTGTCCCCTGTAGAGGGTGCTCTGTTAACAATTTTTAATCCCCTTCAGTGTTTAATGTTTACAACATCGTGAACTAATATACATTTAACGCCTTGGGCTTTTTTGGCAATGCATTTATTTTGTGTGATGAAAAACAAATACACCTTTTGATTGAGTACTTTAAAATATACACTCCCCAGACCCTACGCTACCTGGCTGAGATGCCTCCTAACATTCCTATAATGAAGAATGAACTGGGAATGATGGTGAGCCTGGAGAACCTAATGGAAAGGTATATTTATTTTTATTTTTTTATCCATTGACATTATGCAGAGCAGAGCTCTGTAGATCAGAAAGAATTTCTTTAACTTCAGAGTTAACAGGATTATGTTCTTCCATGCAGGAACAGTCTGTCTGATGACATTACATCTCTGGCTCAGGAGGTCTACAACATTCTGTGTAAACCGGTATTCCGCACACCTGTGCAGGAAAGGAAAAAGAAAGCACAGTTTTTTCTCAATTCTACCAACAAGAAGGCCAAGTCTGTCACTCTGCACATTCAAGGACTGGACACTACAGTGAGTGGACTTCATGTCCAAATCATTTCAGAAATAATTTCTCCTGTTTCCTGTTAAACCATGACCGAATCCTCTATTTTCAGGATCAGAGAGGCTTATGTGAAGAGGCTCTACTTAAAGTTAAAGGAGTGATTAGCTTCACATTTCAGATGGCTTCCAAGAGATGCACTGTCCGTATTCGCTCGGATCTGCCCACTGAGGTAACACACACAGGATCCTTTCATTTAGCTTAGAAAACACCTGCTTTTTTAATTGGTGTCCATAATCACATCTCCTTTTAAATTGTTCTATATTTGCAGAGTCTGGCTTCGGCCATCGCTGCCACTCAGGTGCTGTCAGCCCAGCAGGTTGTAAAAAATGAAGAAGGAGAAGAGGTATGCAACACTCATCACACACATCCACTACAGATGCACTTAGAAAAATTCTAATTATTGAAGTTTGATCCAGGTTCTGATCCCTCTGAACACATCGGGAGTCCAAGTCCAGCAGAACACAGCGCTGCCTGCCTACCTCCCTGAGGAAGAAGAGAGTCCAGAGAAGGAGGTCGACCGAGCCATCTCACGCACCACGACCAAAGGCGACTCCAGTGGTAGCTGGCTGAACACTGCTGCCAGTTTCCTCACTAAAACCTTCTACTGGTGAAAGAGAAGAACTGGCAATCACTAAAACTGAGAGACTTATATAAAAAAAAGACGACTCCCTGCTGCTGAGTTTTCAGAAGGGACATCACTGGTGACATGTCAAAGGTCAAAAGCAAAGCTTGGTCATGTGTTCCTGGCGATCAGTTCAAATATCAACATGCTCAGAAGCACTTAACATGTCAGTGTGTTGGTGTATTCTGGTCTGGACTGGATATAACAAGACCAACAAACTTGAAATAATGTAACAGGTTTCTTCCACTTTTCTTTCCACTTTCCATTTTTAAAGAAATGTACATATTTTTTCTTTTACGTTTTAACTGTCCCTTCTAACTATGTGTAAAAACACCTCCAAGTCTTTACTAACTATTCTACTACTATAGAATACAAATGAAATTCTATTTGTATGAACTGAGTCGTTTGTCTTTGTCTTCATCACTTCTTAAAAAAAAACAAAAAACAGATACAACAATGCAAAGGAATTCAATTCAAAAATTTTAATTTCTTCTCAGTACAGTTCAATTGTCATATGAAGTCTGCAGCTGCAGTCAAAGACCTACAGCTGTTTTTACCTCTAAATCTGAGGCTTTTTTTTAATTTACTTTTTAAATCCTTGAGGTCAGTCTGAGTAAAATATATTAACATTTATACATCATGTATCTATATTATATGTAACATGACATTTTGCTACTGTTTCATCGCAAGCTAAGTCGGGTTGTTGTCTTTGAAAAAAGGCATGCTAAACCACCGGCAGATGAACCAGTATTTAACAGCCAGAATGTAAATGATACAAAGTTTCCTTCCATTCGATGCTACTGGCAAAATATTTCTATACATCAGAAAAAGTGCAAAGGTTAGAAAACTAAACGTCAAAAGAAACAACAGAGTTTTGAAATTCAGAGTTTTACTCAAACTAATGCTGAAAAGACAAGGGTTTTCAGAAACTGCGGCCCTTCTATTGTGATCTTCTCACCCTGCAGAATAAATTAAATGGAAGCCAGTGTGACGGTTGTGATCAAAGCTCAGTGGGAATGCATATTTATAGTTCAGCGGCACCCAAGTCAGGACAAGACACATTCTTCTCACAACACGCTAAGGCAGAGGAACAAAAGAATTAGCAGCATTTCTTCATTTCAAAAAAGGATTAGATTATGTCAGAAAAAATCTCACCAGAAAATTAATTGACAATGATTTCTGTGCCCAGGAGAAAAAGGACAAGTTAACACATGAGGTGTTTAAACTCCACTAAGGTTCAACACTGGCTCAGTGAAAGGATGGAGAGACTCAGCTGAGACACGTGAGACAAAGACACAGTTTTCAATCTGAATAGACGGTGAAGAAAAGAGGAACAAACAAAATATGTTTTCATCTTTACAGCAATTAAGACTTCAGTGTAATCAGTAGTACACACACTGATTCTGAGTTGATTGAGAACGCAGTATTTTCATTTTCATCATCATGATACGCTGCCAACTGGAACAAAGAATGATTCAACCTCTGATGTCAACACTGTTGACGACACACGACTGTCTCTGACTGTAGTCATGCTGTAACACCTTTAGAGCTTTGAGTGATGTTTCACCAACAACAATTAAGTATCCCGTCTTACTAAACGTATGTTCATATTAGACTATCATTCACACATGCAAAGAGATTTATTGTTTTTGTCACCTAGTGATTCAGTAAATTCAGGTCAGAACCAGGTGAAGCTGAGGCTGGAAACAAACAAAAAGTTTTCCAGAGAGTAACTTCTTCTCCGGAGAGGATATTGGATTTCATCTCTGAGGTTCCCTCATTGGGACATGACTGTGGTGTTTACTGCTGAAGGTGAGGAGAGAAAGTCAACCTCTGGTGCTGCAGGTTCTTCCTCTGTATCAGTCCAACAGCTCTGTGTTTCTCCTCGTCTTGTTTCTCAGGTTGTGGAATCATCGGGGTCTAGTCAAAAAATCATGCAACATCTGAAGACGGCAGCAAAAACAAAAGGACAATTAGTCACTGTGAAAGTTAGGGACAGTGGAAACCTAAACTTCAAATTAAATATCATTTAATAATGATATTTACTCCACAGAGCCATCAAAATATAGGAAAGAGAATTAAAATCAGTGCAGGAGCAGAGAGAGGTTCTCGTTAACCTGGACCTTGCAGAGCTGAGATGTCCTCTAATCCACTCAGTGGCTTTAGGAGACCATTCTCTTTAAAGGCTATGACAGGAGCTCTCTCCTCATTCTCTTGCTGCCTGTGCTGCTCCTCCTCTCCTTCAGGGGGAGACAACCTGGAATGTGAAGGCAGAACAATCACCTCCTCAAACTCTCCATTCTCCCTGTAAAAAAAAAAAAAACAAACAAAAAGAAAAACTCAATGAGACAGGTGCACGAGTGCCTCCTGGTGTCTGTGTCTGTGGTGTCGTCAGTGCTGCTGCAGGCCCGCACCCGTACGTCTGCTCAGGGTGGACCAGCACTGCGGGGCTGGACTCAGGCTGCTGAATGTTGCCGTTGCTGCTGTGAGTGGACGACACCGTCACTGCAGATGGAGCAGGCGACGCTGATGACAGAGAATGGACAGGGTGGTCAGACAGAGCAGCAACAACAGGAACCAAACTTCTGAACACACTCTCACTACCTGAACTGTCTCCATTGCTGCTGGGACTGTCTTTCTAAAGACAGAAAAAACAATAAACTGTAAACTTAAAAACAAATAAGAGTCGCCAAAAGTTGACAACACTCCTCCTCTTTTACCTTCTCTGCTGTGTTTGAACGTCTTGTTCTCTTCATGATGTCCTCCACAAGCTGGTGGATTCAAGAACACATTTACAGGCACTGGAATTTTATGTGAATGACTTCAGTGTGAACACAACATCACCTTCTTCCGTGCCAGTCGCTCAGCCTCATCCTGCTGGAGGATTTTCTCTCTCTCCTGTCGCAGTCGCTCTGCCTCCTCCCTCTGTCGTGACTTTTCTTCCTCTTTCTATCAACACACACAAAGACTGTGGGTTTGATGGAATAGTTTGGTTAATTACTACAATAAAGTATATATCTTATTCCGACCTCTTTCTGCAGCTTCTCTGCCTCCTCTCTATCCCTCTGAAGTCTCTCTTCCTCCACCTTCCTCTCCTCCTCCTCTCTCTGTCTCCTCTCCTCAGCCAGTCGCTGAGCCGCCTCCTCTCTCTTTGCTCGCTCCTCAGCCTTTCGTCGAGCCATCTCCTCTTTGGCCTACCTGTGCAAACACACACACACACACACGATTCAAAGCAACAGATGAGCATAAGCACTCTCTTCACTGACCAGCTCCGCCTCATGCATCATGTTCAGTCGTCACCTCTGCTGCTCTTCCAGCAGTTGGCGCTCTTTCTCCTCTCTTCCCCTCTGCTCGCGGGCCAGTCTTCGGTTCTCAGAGAGAATACGACTCGCCTCCTCCGGGTCTGTGGTACCTGCTGAGGGCCTGTGGGCAGGAGGACTGCTAAAGCTCTCTGGAGGGACAAGGTAAAACGGAGTGAGAAAACAACAATAAACAAAAGTTCTAAAATAAGTTCTAGACAACCAACCATTGGACACTGTTGAGGATGGGGTTTTTTGCTCATTCGAAGCCCTGTTTTGACCCAACGGTTGAGGTCGTGGCTGAGAAGGACAGAGGACCTCGTCCTGCTCCTCAGTCTCCTCCTGGTCTCTAGTGGGTGAGGGAGAACAGGGTTTGCCCACTGTGAATGTGACAGGATGGAGGGTCCCGGAGTCGTCCCCTCCTGGGGATTTGAGAAGTTTGGGGGTGGGAGGACGCACTGGTGTCCTCTGTGGAGGCCTGAGTCCAGGAAGATAAAGAGAAAAAATAAATACATCTATAATAAAAGCTGGTTTATTCATTTGTTTCCTACTTTGTCTAGTTGCCCTCGATGTAACTATCTTTAAATTATGTACCTTAATTTTGAAAAACTAAAGTCAAGTTCTCCTACCTGCCAGGAGAGGGAGCTGTAACTTTCTTTTTGACTGGAGAAGAAGAGCGTTTAGTGGGCGGAACAACCATGATAGGGGTCAATGGGAGGGACAAGTTGCTCCAAGACTTTCGGACATTGTCCTTTTTCTGTGGCTATAAAAACAAGAATAATATATAATAGGCCAGGAGAGTAATTGGCTTAATGTCACTAAGAAAAGACACACACACAGACGCACGCACACCCAAGGTAATCAGGTGGTGCAGTATCTGTCCAGACTCCAGTGACAACAGCAGCAGATGATTAGCAAAAGGATTGGACCAGATTAGACGACCTTGCTTTGACCATGTATTATCTCCAATCAGCTCAGCCTCACACACACATACACACACACAGAAGCGCACACACACGCACACGCACACACACACACAGGAGGAAACTGACAATGTTCAAACTTTAACTGTCAACACACGTGCAATTCAAAGACATCCCACCTGCACAGTTCCAGTTGTCCTCCTGCGTGGTGTGGTGTTGGACGACGAGGCCGTCTCCCTGCTCAGGCTCCTGTCCTGGCTGCGGCAGTGAGGCAGCGGCTGAGCCTGCAGGGCCTTGAAGGACATGGAGCCCATGGGATGGCAAGACACTGAGCGGGGACACACAGGAATGGCTATGGTGATGAATGAGATGGGGTTTCGGATTTTGGACAGTAGTGGTTTGGAACGGTGTGAGGATTTTTTTTGTAAACATTGGTACAGTTTTGAAAAATGGGAGCGTGAGGTGAGGAAGGATGAGATGGAAGTGAAGGAATCAAAAAGGAAGCCAGCAGGTTTGGGAAACACAGGGAAGGAATGACGTTTAAGGAAGTAGAAGAAGACAAAGCCGCCATTAGTGTTAATGACAGTTAGCAGAACGCAGCCATCACCGAGGCAAAGTGAAAGGCTTATTCAAAATGAAACACCAAAACACACACAAACGTATATATTTGTGTGTGCGTTTGTTAGACACTGACTTGAGGCCCTTTTATTCTCACCAAATGACAAGATATTTGTGAGAGATGATTTACTGCTTGCTTTTGGACATGTAGACGTGTTGTGCACCATGTAACGAACCTGAATAGGTCCAAGAAGAGAGGCGTTACCTGCTTGCTCTCCAGACAGACTCATTGCGCTGCGACTGCGGGCCAGGTAGGAGTGTGTCGGCTGCTGCAGGCGATTCACGACATTGCTTTCCCACGGCGTCAGTGGAAGACGGCGCAGGCCTGAACACAGCCGTGAGACATTTAGGGATTGGAAAACAATAAACCTCCCACTGATTACACTGAGAAATCATCTGAGAGCAGATTAAAGCAGATACAGTGTAATTACTGTAGCTGTCGCCGCTTCGCTCTTTTGGCAAAATGCTTAAGTCAAGTTATCAACATGCACCGGCTGTTGTTACACCGTCACCTGCATGCACCACAGTGTTCATCGTTCCAGCGCGAAGCAAAGAACAACTGGAGGACAATAGCACGGCACATTTGAAACCAATAAAATTAAATAAATAAATGTCTCAAGCAAGCATCTTAAATGTCTATCCATGCAGAGTCTGTTGGTTCTGGAATCATGCAAAAAATATTGCCCAGAGTTGTCAACCCTTAAATGCCAAGGTGGACATAAATAAAGCTCTGCTGATGCTGCAAATCAAGAAGCAAGGAGCAAAGATACATTTGGGCTGGAAAGTGTTGAAAACCTTTAAATCTCCAAGATACAACAGTGTTTCAGCCACATGGTGACTCTTGGGAGTGCAACTCTGCACTTTTTTTTTTGTTAAAACACTTCCATCCCACTGTTGGTGCTGGTGCAGGGATAGAAATTGTTCTCCACAAAAACAAAAAGATTATCCTCCTAGGGATTAGAGAAAGGGGTCAGGTTCTGGGGTGGTGGGGGGAGACAGGGTGGTGCTGGTGGAAAAACACATGCAGTACAATATCTAATGCACTTTACTGAGTGTGGATATTATTCCATAATACTAGGTCATCAGGACAATTACAGGGCAATTTTGTCCAACATTAATATTTGACGTTTATTGTGGAATCAAGTCGTGGGCCAAATTCGGCCCACAGGCCGCCAGTTGATAATCACTGCTCTAAACCAACAGTGACTCCAGCCCATGATATCTTTGCTCTTTAGCCAGTGTGTAATTAAATGACCAATTGACAAATCTTTCCCAGAAAACACCTGAGTCTCTGCGTGGGGTGGTCTTTCCTGGGTGCAGGCGAGGTTTGGACTGAGCTTTGTTAATGACAGGGGTGGAGGCTGTTCTCATCTGTAGGCCTGTCGGCAACACGTGAACAGCACAGAATCCATGACCAACTGCTTGATTCAAATATTGACTTGAAGGATTAGTCTCAGAGTGGTTAATGACTTCTACTTTAATTTCATTAACAGATGACGTGGTCGATAGTTTAAGTCCGTTTCATTAAACAAAATCCAAAAAACATTAGCAGCTAATTCGGTCACATGGCCATTACTCTACAGCTGATTGGAGACATCAGGCTACACTGTATTAATAACCATTCTGTAAGAAAATAACGTGAAGAAATTGTTTGTTATGTTAAATTTTGTTGCAGCTGCTACATTAAAAATCCTTATTAAATTCTTCTGTAGGAGCAGAAAGATGGATGATAGAAAATGTATCACATTTGAAGTGGAGCGACACAATAATATCACATTTGAAAATAGCATTTTTTCTTTGCAAATTAGCTACCTAATAAAAAACAAATTGCCAAACACTGGTAACATTTACTGTATGTCTAACAATGCCTGCTGCTATCTATGTAAAACAGAGATAACATTCAAATTATAGTGTCATTAACAAACCCAAAGGTTTGAAGCATTAATACACAAAGGTAAAAACAGAATTTAACAGAATAAAAATGAATGGTCAGGTTATTAGAAAGGGAAAATTACGCTGTTATGAATAATGTTGGTGTTTGTGGATCATATGACTGTTTCATTACCTCTGTCTGGTGAGTGCAGGAGTGTAGCAGAGGAGGAGGAGAGGCGCTTAGTAATGACAGGGTCTGCATGTTTGGATAGATTCATTGTGGACACCGAGCGTCTGTCGCCATCTAACAGGGGAGCAGCAGAATGAAGAGAGATCAACAGGAGAGTCGCTGAAGGCACGGCAGAACACAGAGGTTAGTCTAGTCTACTGGTAAGGTAGTGGGAAAGTACGAACAAATAATAGGTACTACAAATGTACCACTAAAATATATATTATTACAGATACTCCAATCCAAATACTGCTAAATTCTATTGACAATTATTTCCAACATAGTAGTAGCTTCAGGTACATTTCTACGTGCGGGTACGACAACAGACATACTAGTCACGCCACACATGATGGCCTACAGTAAAACTAAAGCTGAACTCTACAAAAGGCGCTGCGTGGTTACAATATTAGCTAGAGTATGAGCCGAAACACTAGCCAGCAGCTAACTGGCAGACTGCTAGAATATTCACAGTGGGAGGTCATTCCGTATCTGCGGTAGAGACTGAAAGCACTCTGCATGTGCTCCAGACCAGCAAGGTCAAGTGGAGAGAGGAAAGCGGACTCAACAAAACCTGGACCAGGAAGGTGGAAGGACAGTGGTAGAGAAACAGAGATCAGAGAAGACAGGAGAACCGAAACAACACAGGGGCGGGGGGACAGACAGAGAGGGTGAGACGGGGGAGGGAGAGGCAGAGCAGGGTGTGAGTCAGACAGAACATACAAAAACGTGGCAGAACAAAAGTGCCGTGCAGAGGCAGGCGGACATACTGCATTGACAAAATAGGAAGGTACAACATCATAGTGCTGTGAAAAGCCCTGGTGAGAGAGACCACCTGTGTTCCACACAGTGGTGGTGTGTTTAAGGTCAGTCATGTGTTTAAGTACCGGCTGGTGTGATGGTAGTGTTTGGCTGCAGCGTTCCTCCCCACGACCACCGGTTGGGTTTCTGTCTGCTTCTCTGACTGCGCTCCAATGTTCTGCGTATCACTGCCTCATGGCGGATCTGCGGCGTGAAAAACAGGAATGTTAGTGTGACACTGACAGAGCAAGGAAAGGTGTCCAACAGAACACAACCGACCACGCTGCAGATGTTGACAGTCTATGTGGACATTTTGAATCAACATCACCTGCACTGCAGTTGAAATGTTCACCAAACTGACCAATGACAACACTGAAAATAAAGCAGACTCAGTTCTGAGGAGGAAACTGAGTGAGACAAAGGCTGCTGCAAAAACAACCAGCCATTAACCCTGTCAGCAGTTAACGTTGATCAAAACAAGACTTTAATCTTTTAGTCCATTGATCCTTCCTTGCTTTGAGGATGAACATTTTTGGCCAATATTAATATTCAAAACAAAACTAGTTGTCAATTTGAAACGGTTAGAAATGTGCCTGCCTGACTGTGATCATTATAATTTATTGTAAAGAAACCAAGATTTCTTCACAAACTCCTTTATTACGGGGTCACAAATTATCAGCAGGTTTTAGGTGAGTCTCGTGAGATAAACTGATAAACCATTTGTCATTGACATTTCCATCCAGTGGTTTTCAGGCCTGGACCAAGTCAGAAATATGTTCCTTTGTGTTTAAACATGGAAGTAACATTTAGCTTTTCATTTTCACAACAAAACTATTACAGAAAGTGCTGCAATCCAATAAATAATTATTTTCTTAAAGGATCCAAACATGTTCATCTCGTTTGTTTACAAAGTAAAATACTGCAGTTTCAAAATAAAGCTCTGTTGTACAGATAAGTTTGGATCCCTGCGTTGTATAAAAGCAATTAGAAACAGAATAAACAATACCATTTGTTTTATAACAATACGGCTCTTCGCTGCACTGCTTTTGTGCATATTACACTTTGCATGATAAATGTCCGAGGAAACGCAATGTTGTTTGCATTAATTTTGCATGGCTGTATCATGGGAGACTACACCTTGGACCAAACACAGATGATAAAATCCATGTCAGTCTTATACACCTGCTCTGTTTTATCAGAATGTTCTCTCCAGCATTTTTTTAATTTAATCTGGACTAATGAACCTTTAACTTCTGGGTATAAGTTGTTGTTTTTGTATTTTTACAGTTCCTTCTAGATGTTTAATTTTGTTGTAGAACAATATTTTGTTCTTTATGATGCGTCTGACCAATTTAATTTTGACAGGTGATGCTCACTTGCGGTATAAAGCTATGCTTTTTTAGTTTGTGTGGAATTAAAGCCTGAGAGTTCCTGTGTGTTCACACGAGGCGTAAATGGAACTGGCTTCACATTTTTGGTGTGTTGACGACGTCTCTGTACCCTGTCATCTTCCTGTTTCTGCCGCCTTTTCTCCTCCACAGCGGCCCTCCTCTTCTCCTCCTTAATCCTCTGCTCCTCCAGCTTCCTCTTCCTCTCCTCCAGGAGCTTCTCGTAGTGCTGCCTGGCTCGCTCCTCACGTGCCTGCCACTGGGCCTCCTTGATAGCTGTGGCGTGATGGGCACACACACACAAACACATGCAGTTTGTAATGGTTTGATGTACATGCCTCCGTCTGAACATGCGAGTATGACCCTGAACAAGCTTATAACAACAGTGATGGCTCAGCTGCAGGTCATGTGACCGGGCTTTAGCTCTGAACACAAAGCAAATTCCTCCACCTCTCAGCTGGAGCCACAGCTTTGACCACTGCACAGCCTCCAGACACACAGAAAACATACCAACGCAACAAAGGCTCACGGCTCTTTGAGGCTCACCTGCATTACATCACTCAGGTCTCATACAAAACACCAGCCCTCGCTAAACTGTGACTATTATGCAACTTGGATACTATGGTTACGTCAGTGACTGGGGCTTTGGCCCAGACTGTGGCCCAAATGTCAGAGAATCACTTCACCACAGTCACCAAGTAAATTCATCACTTTGGTACATGTGGCAAAAAAAAACAACTATTAGTCAAAGAGGAAAAGTAAACACCCCCTACAGACAACAACAGTTATTACAAACACATGCACAGTTTCAAAATAAAACACTCACCATTCTGTTTCTCACGCTCCTCCCGGCGTTCACGGGCCAACCTCTGTCTCTCATCAATCTTGTTAAAGAGTAACGAGTCTGCAGCACAAAAAACAGTTCCACAGTGAACAATAGTAGCACACAGTGAAATGGGTAAACGTGAACGAAACGTAGTTTTGGAGTCAGTGACCTGTTTTAGTGGAGGCATTGTTGGTGGGGCTGTCGTAGAGTATTGTCTGGCCGGAGTTTGGAGTGGGACTGGGAGTGTAGGTGCGTCCAGAGCTGGAGGAGCTCAGGTGAGTGGCCGTTGACAACCTGCCGTCCTCTGATTTATAGTAGAAAGAAGCTGAAAATGAGAGAACAATAAAGCACCACTGTGTTTGTTTTTTTAGTTTCAGCTGGGAAAAAAACATCCTCCACTTCCACTTCACTGATCAGATGGTGTCAGTGGCGTTCCTACATTTTAAAACATGAACTGTAATACAAAAGCGACAGCATTTAATAAAGCACACAAAGGGCAACAGCCGGGTTATACCGAGCAGTGTTAAATAACCCTTTTACACAACATAGTTACTTTAGCTGTAGCTGTGAGCTAAAGACTCTACAGAGACCAATCTGTCCCAGAAAGACCAAATTAAATCAGTCCTTCTGACCTAGACTATACCGACAAACTAAGACAGATTGACTGTACCTGAAATAGCCCGAGGCAGGCGGCCTATTCTACATCTGTCTCTCTCTACCTCTCTTTTTTTTTTCTACAGGGCGTCTTTATCTCCTTGCCCCAGTGAAGTACAGACTTCAGACTATCATCTTTGGGGCTGCAGCTTTGATGAAAATGGTAGAAGGGCTTAAAGGAAAGACCTGGGCTCATCTTATTACAGGAGTTGCATTTTGAAAAGGTATGATCACACAGCACATGGTGAACGTCAGGAAAAGAATCATAAAAATAGGGACCAGAAACCAATTATGGGTTGAATTAGGTCATTTAGTGCATCTCCATAGAAAAAATATAATGAGTCAGGAATTATTTAAGTACTGATTTGTGATTTTAAAAAGTTAACAATTGTGTCAAAGATCTTAAACATCTCCAGATGTCAATCTGGTGGAACAGACCGAGATTTAGAGACAAAAACAAATCACATTTCAAAAACAAGATTTGAAGGATCGGCTGGAATCGTTACCTAACGCTGTAGGAAACCTTGAAGCAACTGCAACTTGGAAGAGAATAGCGATGTTTACCATGAAGTTACTGTTTTTTTTTAAATATTGTTCATGTTTTGAGGTTTTATTTGTAGTATCATGGCAGTGGTCCAAACCATTGGCACGGCGCCAATGGCTCCACCCTAACGCTAACACAAGACTTTCAGAGGCCTTGCTGGACAAAGGTGTCAGGTCATTGCTGCACAGGTATTGCATATCATGGTTTGTGAGACATGCAGCCACAGAGAAGTGTAATCAAGTGTTAACAAGCCCTCCCTGCCTCAGGTGCGACAGCTTTGAAACTGGTTTCATACAAGCTATTGTAACAGGAAAGGTTCTGCTGGGGCGGGTTACAGTAATGTCTAGTCTATCTATATCTGTGCTTAGAATGTTTGTTATTCAACCAACGCAAAAAAGAGAAATAAAAAACAACAGTACTACAGTACAGCACTGTGTGTCATTGCCTAGAATTGGGTTCATGATTTCAAGAGAGACAAACCCATGAAATCTTGGCTAGTATCCCACTCCAAAGTGTCCAATCAGTGGGCCACGGTCAATATTTCCACTTCCTTCACACATCCTGGACAGTGCAAGATAAGCTAAAAATCCAAAGTCCAACACAGTAATGAGTGGGTGGTGAAGGGAAAAAAAAACAACACTGAAAATTCCAAATGGGCCAAAAGAGGACCACCATAAAAAAGAAAAAAAAAATCCAACAATTTCCAAAGTAAAAGCAAATGCAGGAAGGGTGAGAAGGACAGAGGTCAGTCCCCGTCCATCATCTGAGAGATGAATGAGTGAGAACCAGATTGTTGCCCGTCTCCAACCCGCAGCGCTCTGTGACCGTGTACACAGCATGTGTGTGTGTGTGTGTGATAAAGAGGGATAGTTTGACCATTTAATCTGGCCCTTCCTCTCCCACTGCATACTACTGTGTGTATGTGGCAGCAACTGCCCCTTCTCACCCCCCACCTCACAATTTGTCTACATTCAACAGCAGCCAGATTATACAGTCAGTGTTAGCGATTAATACTGCCGTCCAGGCCAGTGGGCAAAAAAAGTGTGTCCGCTGCCTCCGTGCAGCCTGAGAGGATTAGCTACTGCTAATGCTAAGCTAGATGCTAAGCTTCATCCAGCACAGGTCTTTCAGACATACAGTAGACAACAATGTACAAGAGCGAAAAGGTTGTCTGGGAATCATAGATAAGGCTGCACAGAACACTGCACTTCAAAGATGAAGAGATAGTAGGAAAACAAAAGTTGCATAAGAATAGGACACAAAACATCACAGATTGGAAACAGTGCTGCTTCCTGTTACAACCCAGAAAAACAAATGTATATATATATATATGTGAAGATCCTACATTTAGTTTTTCAATTTTGAATGATTTTCTATATGCATTTACCAAGTTATTTCAACTGCAGTCACAGCACACCCTACAGGGGGCAGAGGAGACTAATGTATGCAAAAGGAAAAAGCAGGCTACTGTCCACCCCTCGAAGCATAAATGACTAAGATCACTGTCTCTGACCTGAAGCAGGTTTCCAGTTTTCAGCTGTGCAGAGGTGTCCCATTCAGTCCTGAAATTTCAGCCTCATTGTTTGCATCACTGGAACCATGTTTGACAAAACACTTTCAAAGTTAGTAGTAATACTACACTTTCATTTTGTCCATAGCTTTCCCCACTCTAGTTTCTCCCCTTCCCAGTAAAATAAAAGCAAATAAGAGGAAGGATTCTGAAAAAACGTAAATAAAACCATAGGTCTTTATTGAAGTATTTTGGTATGATATATGTTAGTACTAATACTGGACAGGACTGTCACTGTGCAGTGGACAACTGATCTGCTTACTGATGCATTAAATCCACATCCACCTGTGAAGTGTGAAACTGCACCTTTCGTTCACGCGGGTGTTGAGCTCATTTGCTTAGTCAGCTGATTTATACACACAAACAAAGAAACCAACACACACACACACACACACACACACACAAGCTGTGATTTTCCATCAGACCTGTCAGACCCTGGACTGCTGAGCATTATGGGTTGGGACGCCTTACCACCGTACACAGCAAGCATTAATATCAACAACCAGAAATGGTTTATTCCTATGAGGCCCAGCCAATGACATCACTCCTTGACACAAACACACACATGAGTGTGTTTCTTCTTCAGTTTTCCTTTCATACCTCTTTTCTTCTTTCTGGAAGCATTTTTCCGCTTCCGCCCCTCATCTTCCTCAGTGATGGTGAAGAGTGCCGGGATGGCTGAGCGGCTGCCTCCTTTCTTTAACTTCCACTTGTCCTGTGAGCAGCCGCCTGCACCTCCTCCTACTTCCTGTCCTCTTCGTTTACTCTCTGGCATCACAAACCCTGTTGCTAAACCTCACACCCCTGGCAAACTCCCCCAGCCCGCTGTCCATCTCAGTCTGCAGGGGGGAGGTGATGGACCCAGAGAAGAGGGTAGAGGACAAGGTCACCCTTAAACGACTCCTTCTTAGAAAGGTTTTAGAGTGTCGGTGGCTGACAGCTGACGCTAAGAGCTAACATCTTGTGGCCAAACAGCAGCTCAGAGCGGAAGAGAGGAGCACAGATTAAAAAAATGCAGCAGGTCACATCAGCAGAAGTAGAGAAGATCACAGTGTCACATTCTTAATGACACTACCTTCCTGGCACAGGGAGAGGGAGGACGAAGAGCAAGGGTGCGACAGAACATAAGCTCCTGTCATTTGGCTCAGCAGAGATGACTTATTCCACAGTCAGAGCTCAGAGGAGAACTGGAAGCGCTGCACTTGTCCTGCATCCTTAACTGCGTTAGAGATGCTGCTGCTGCTGCCGCTGATGCTGCCTCCGCTCCTCACAGCACCTCTG